TAAACAAATTTATTGTCTGACACAAAATTATGCTTTCAGAGTGATTGGGACCACAACTCAAACTACATTTCCTGGGGCTTTTGTTTCAGTTTCTAGTTAATTTGCACCTGAGTACCTGCAGGCAGCCTTGCATAGCCCGGAGGTTACAAGAAGTTAAAGCCCATTTAATTTCCTTTTGAAGTCATCTCTGTAAGCTAATTTTGATAACAAGAATTGGTGAGGGTTACAGGAATTTTATCTTAGTAAAGAGCAAGAAACAGCCACTAGTTACTAAACAATTTAGAACAGTGGTGAGTATACATTTATAACAGAAAGTAAAAGCTTTACATTTATAATCTAAAATGTGAGTTGACCCATTACGGCTAGGTTAGGGCTTGTGGCAAATTGAAAGAGAAAAGGGTGTGTATGCAGTTAGTTGCCTTGTTTGTTTTTGATCTTACTGTATCTTTTTGGTTGAACTATTTTTTAGTATAGATTGAATTTTTTGTTTTTGATGCTGAGGACCGAACCCAGGGCTTCTAGCTTGCCAGGCAAGCATTCTACTGCTGAGCCAAATCCCCAGCCCCAACTGGCAGCTCTTCTTCTGTGTATTTCAAGCCAGTACAAGGCCGATTCCTGCAGCACGAGCAGGAAACGTCACAGAGCTTTCAGACCCCTCCCACACTCTAGCCATTCCCACTGCCGGCCTCTATTCGCAACAGAAACACAACCCACTTTCACAGGCTTTGCTTGCAGCTCTCCTAGGTCAGTGCCGAGATGGATTCCTTCAGAACAGCGGTTTGCAAAACCTAGTGCAAACTGACCACCACAAGAGAACCTAGAATCTGGGAAAATGGGTCCAAACTCTTAAATTCATGTGTTCTGAGTTGGCATTTTATGAGAAGATCATTTGAGGCAAGGGCATGCCATGCGGAAATTGCCACATGGAACTTGCCACATCAGATATGGAAGGAATCAATTCAGTGTAAATGCTTTGGAATGCTGATTCAAGAATGCACAGCTCAGGGGCCGGGGAGATGGCTCAGTGGAATAAGTGCTTCCTGGCAAGCGCAGGGGCTTGAGTTCAATCCCTGGTTCCGGAAAAAAAAAAAAAAAAAAAAAGAATGCACAGCTCAGGGGCTAATGAGATGGCTCAGTGGTCTAAAGCGCCTACTTAGAACAAGCTTAGCAAAGCACAGGGACCGCGGTTCAATCCCCCAGCACCACATGCCAGCCAGCCCCGCCCTCTGGTGGGCTGAGCTGGCCACACACAAATAAATAAATAAAATTTAAAAAAAAAAAGAATGCACAGCTCAGGGGCCGGGGAGATGGCTCAGTGGAATAAGCACTTCCCTGGCAAGCGCAAGTCCCCGGGACAGACTGCTGAATTCCTGGAGATGCACAACCTCACATGTCCCAAAGATGGTGAATGGGAGCGGGAGAGAGGTGGACATGTTTAAAAGCAGGGGAATGCTGAAAGCAGTGAAGAGCAGGCTTGGACCCCAGAACCCGAGCACTTCCTGGAGGGGAAGGACGGACTCATGCCTTGAACACTTTCCTCTGTTTCTGTGCACAGTCCTGGGGACTAGGGAATTCCTCTCCAGTAGCAATGAGTAGCTCGCTATGGTTCGTGCTCCACGGTATCTCTGCTCTCTGTCAACAGGGGGTAACAGGATTCTCTCCCCTTTTCTTGTGCCTGCTTTAGCTTAGTTGTTTTCACCTAAAAGCAACCACCACCACCAGCACCACCATGACACCAACGACAACAGAAACAACAACAACAAACTCTTCATAGCTTTTGGACTGGGTTTCTTCCGTGCTGTTTGCTTCTCACCTTCCATCAGGGACGGAGCTTCCCAGCACAAACAGTCTTCTGTTCCCTGACTCGCTGGCAGTTGGCACTGTGCCCATATTTGAAGAACTTCATGGCACAGGGTGGTAAGAGACCCACTGGTGAGATTCTCTGGTACCTCTTATCATGATATCACAGGCTGAAGATATAGTAATTAACGCCAGCTCCAGGACACATGCAAAAGTAGTGCATGCTTTCATATGTGGGATTTATTTATTTATTTATTTATTTATTTATTTT